TGAATCTCTTCTTGGTTTAACTTTGGAAGTTCCCATGATCTCAGATATCCATCCATTTCTTTTAGACTTTCAGATTTAGTAGCACATAGCTTTTAAAATATTCCCTTATAATGGTTTGGATCTTTTGGGTGTCTGCTGTGATGTTTCCCCTTTCATCTCTGATTTTGTTGATTTGGAGGTGCTCTTTCTTTCTTTTGGTTAACTGGGCTAAAGGTGTATCAATTTTGTTTATCTTTTCAAAGAACCAGCTCTTGGATTCGTTGACTCTTTGTATTGTTTCCTTTGTTTGTATTTCATTAATTTCTGCTCTGATTTTTGTTATTTCTTCTCTTCTGCTGGGTTTGGGTTTCATTTGTTCTTGCCTTTCCAGTGCCTTGAGTTGCAGTGTTAGATCATTTATTTGGGCTCATTCCAATTTTTTTAATGTAGGCATTTGGAGCTATAAACTTCCCTCTTAGGAATGCTTTTAATGTGCCCCAGAGGTTGTGTTGTGATGTATTGTCATTTTCATTGAATTCCAGGAATTCTTTTATTGCTTAATTTCTCCTTTGACCCACTCATTGTTTAGGAGTGTGTTGTTCAATCTCCACGAATTCATGTAATGACTAGGGCTTCATCCAGTGTTGATTTTGAGCTTTATTGCTTTGTGGTCCAATAGAATACATGGAATCATTTCAATATTTTTGTATTTGTTGAGATTTATTTTGTGGCCCAGTATGTGGTCAATCTTTGAAAAAGTTCCATGAGGTGCTGAGTAGAAAGTGTATTCTTTGGTGTTTGTATGGAATAATCAAAAGATGTCTGTTAGGTCCATTTGATGTATGCTATCATTTAATTCAGATGTCTCTCTGTTTATTCTTTGTCCAGTTGGCCTGTCTAATGGAAACAGTGGGGTATTGAAGTCCCCTGATATTACTGAGTTGGGGTTAATCTGTGTCTTAACGTCCTGTAGTATTGTTTTTATGAATTTGGTTGTGCCAGAATTTGGTGCATATATGTTAAGGATTATAATATCTTCTTGGTTAACTGTTCCTTTGATCAGAATGAAGTGACCCTCCTTATCTCTTCTGATTAGCTTTACTTTGAAGTCTATTTTGTCAGATATTAGAATTGCAACCCCTGCTTGTTTCTTAGTGCCATTTGCTTGGAATGTTCTTTTCCATCCTTTTACCTTAAGGTAGTGCCTGTCCTTGAAGGTGAGATGAGTTTTTTGCAGACAGCAAAGAGATGGATTTTGTTTCTTAGTACATTCGCTTAGCCTGTGTCTTTTGACTGGGGAGTTCAGTCCACTGATATTTAAGTTTATTATTGAAAGGTGTGCATTGGTTGCTGTCATTTTGATTGCTGTTTGTGTTCTCTGTGTAATTTTGTGTTTCCTAGATTATGCCTTTGTTTATTTTCTTTCGTTGCCCTAAGATATAGTTGTTTCTCTCTCTGCTCTCTGTATTGCTTCAAGTATTCTTT